ATTCTCATTAGGTTTTTATCATAACATGTAAATCCATTGCTGTATTTTTTAAGTCCATATTTTTTAATATGTTTTAGCGTTTCAGTAAATGTACAACTTTGACCCTGTGTAGAATATCGACACAGATGCATGATTTCCTGGAGTGCCCAAGAGTATGTAAACCACTCACTTTGGCAATACCCTGACTTTTCTCTCTGGGTTAAGTTACAAGTTTTATTTTAAGTAGTAGTATTTTAGCTGAACAACTATTGGATGGATTACCATGCATTTGGTACAAGGTTTTAGGCCCCCCTTTGGTTGAATTGGGGTCATTTGTGCTGTTTATTTCTAGGCTGTGTAAACATACTTAAATGAAAATGACAGCTATGACAAAGGAGAGACTAGACAAAGAGTGTTTGAGGGGCAGAGGAACTTTTAGCAGCCCAATAATGTGAGACTGCTGAAACATTTTTATGCAATGCATGCAATGGAAGTGCCTTGTATTTCACCAGTAGCATTTCCTCTAATGTCTTTATGCAAAAAACTTTAAAATCTAATTTAATTTGTGATAGGCTTTGCTCTGTTTTGTCTTTAGCTCAGATTATCCAGTTAGCATGCTGAAATATTTTACTGAACATGTAAAGCTTATACCAACTAATCATTAGCATGTTGTCATTGTTAGTAAGTTATCACTCTGATATTAGCATATAGCTAAAAGCTATACCTAAAGAAAAGGGAAGTACATTTTCACCTTGAGTTAAATGTGTAAATACGACCACAAGAGCGTTTTTCAGATTATTTTGCGATACAAGAATATTTGCCCTCAAAGCTTTACTATGTTCCAAGTAAAGTAAAGACAGCTCGTTACAATGATGTCCTACTGATTCGCTTTCCTTCCTCAAAGTCTTCACCTGTTCTTTAAGACTGTTCTTAAGTGCTAAGGGTAACTTCCTGGCAAACAAATTTGTTTGTTTTTTTGGGGGGTTTTTTTACCTCAGGGGAATCTCAGTGCTACAAACCTTTCATGTCAATATGTTTCATTCATTTTTGGAACATCTTCAAACACATGGGAGTACATGACTGTTACAGATTTTACATATTTGCTTCTTTGCATTGGCTGTAATAATGTTGCATAAAAAATTGGTTCTTGAGCCAACCGGAGAAGGGACTAGATTTATTTTGAATATATCTCAAATGCTCAGCTGTGGAGTTATGTCTGATGTAATGGTCAGTTTTTGGCGGGTTATTTAATCAGTACCTTATTTTATGAAATGACTCATTGGCACATGCTTCAACAATATTGTCTCCTCTGGTGTTGATTTGTATTTTGTCTTCTGAAAACTATTAAAACAAGTGATCAAAACCAGGTCATTGAAAAGTGAAAGCACACCTTCCCACATGCCAACAAACTCCCACTAAAGGAGGCTATCTGTGTACCACATGCACCTTTAATCAGCGTGCCCAGACAACATACATTCCACTCAGTGGTTATGTGGTCTGCAGCGTCTAGTATGCATCCCTCTACTCCCTGAAGCTGCCACATACAGCCTTCTATCTGGATAAATCACTGTAATGAGTAGCTTTTGAGGTTTGATCTACTTATGATCTGGTAGAGCTTGTCTTAGTTCAGAAGACTGGATTGTAACTTTGTTCTTACTGAACATTTTGGTTCAACTAGAGACTGTGGGTCAATGGTTCCTTGACATCCAAGTGAAGCAACTGTGAGCGCCCACTGATTTTCTATGCGCTCCAGGGTTAGTGATATGAAGAGAAAGCAATTGAAGACCCATTTATATGTTTTTTAATGATTGTCATGAGGAGAATCCGTAAAAGAACATTTTCCAGACACTGAAAAGAGTTTGATATGCCTGAAAGTTAAATTTAATGAACGTATAGAGAAAAACAGGTTTGTCATGCATGTAGGAAAACTACTATTCTTAAAGCAAAGCTCTTGAACCCAAGCGACTGTAAAGTTGCAGTGAGGTGTGTCAGTATAGAGTTACTGAAAAGCAGCAATAATTTTATTCCGAAACTTGAAAGCATGCAGATTACAAGCTGCCTCCTGTAGAAAAAACAGCCACCGGGCATCATTCGCAAGACATTTCTGTTTTTATAGCTGCTCTGGGCTGAGCCATGCAAAGAGGAGAGACCTATTATAGAATAATTATACAATGTCATCTTGGTGCACACTGGCAGTAAATGCATCAGTTGTAATCATACACTTCCAACTACAAAGAGGTAAGCTCTAAAGACAAGTCTTCTTGGAAATTGTAGACTGTCCCATACAAGGATCCATCAGGAGCCACCATCAGTACATTTTGACAGCTGTCCGAGTCCAGTCTGAAAGACAAACTAAAGGTTTTAGTTATAGTTGTTCAGACTTCATGTCTGCCAGCGCAGTGTCCAGTTCAACCAAACATTTTGGGCCTGAGTCCCAGGAACGCAACATGAACAAGGTTCTGACATCTTCTGCCAAACAACTTGAAACAAATGACAAAAAAAAACAGACAACTGCCAGAGTAACCAAAATCCAAGGGCAAGCTGCTTTAAAGAATGTTTTACTGCTAAGCATGCACAAGGTCATCACATCAGCTCATACAGTATGTAGATTAATCATGTGAGAATTAAGACTGCCCAACCAAAAAAGAACCTGCAGGGTTTGTACATCTCACCCAACATTTTCAGTGAAACATGTACGTAGTTTCTGTGAACCTACACTGGTTTCTGAAAAGGTGTTATGAAGACCAACGATGGCGTTCACCATTTTGGAAATGCTGACTCATACTAACTTCTCGCAATTTAAGGAGGGCTGACTGAAAATCTTATCTAAGTATTTTTAATCCTGCCAACCAGCTACCCATGTGCTCACGACTATAAAACATTTGATTTGCCAAGAAAAATTATACATATAAAATAAAAAGAGATTAGGAAACAGAGAAAAGGCAAAGGTACAAGACTGTGTACATCATTTTTTCTGGGAGTGAAGGGACTACACATCCCACATTGCCCCTTGATATAACTTGGGACGTTTCTATCGACTAATTTCTTTGTCACTTAAAGAGGTCATAATATGCCCTTTTTGGGGTTCGTATATTTAATCTATGTACCTACTTTTGTATGTTCACAATAGCTAAAGTCTGAAAAAAGTGTCTATTTTCATGTACTGCTCCTCCTTGCTCCCTCTATGCTCTGAGTCTGTCAGCTGCACTCTGTTGAGCCCACACTGTTAGACCCCACGTGGGCCAAGTCTGCTCTGATTGGTCTGCTGATCTGCTCTGTCGTTATTGGTCAGTTGCTCAGCACGCGTCTCAGAAATTTCAACATGAGCTGCTGGACCTGCCACAACGAGCCAATGGGCTTAGATCAGTGATCTCACACTGACAAATTTTTATCGAGGGGGGCTAGAACCGAGCGTTACATGCAGCTAATGCTACAGCTAACAGGAGGACGTAGGAGAAGCCACGTTTCCGCGGACTTTGAATTTTTTCACATAGATGTGCCTAAACATGCAGGACACATGGAAAACACACTAAAGAGCATATAAAACCAGAAAAAGCAGAATATGGGACCTTTAAACAGAAATTTAAAGTCAGGCTAGTCGACTTGTCTAAAGTATAGAAAACACTCAAAACAATGTCAAAATTGAGCACAATTTATTGAGAAGGGCTAAACCCCGCAACACAGCATCTGTAGTAAAACAATTCCAAATTGGTTTGCAATGTGTGGCTAAGGTTAGCAGCTGGCACTGGAAGCCTTCAGTCCTCCCTGCAGGATAACGTCCATAAGCCTGTGCTGGTTACGCATTGCTCGTTAGTCTTGACACTTACTTTCTTCAACCCTACAGATCATGTAAGAAAACTTTGGAGGCAAAGGAACTAGTAGCTGCCCAGAGGCAACACATCTTCTGTTGTTCAGCCGAGCTGTTAAGTGACCAACAGTAGAAAACTGTGGTTATTCAAAGTAGAAACCAGATGTGAATTAGCTTGAAAATAAAAATGCTTAGTATATTTCTCTGGGTAAGTAAATGTTTAAAAATTGCACGGCCCCAATAAATCAGACCAGTGGTCCTGTGCTCCTCTGAGTCTGAAACAACTAATCGAAGCCACACTTACACGCACAACTACGTCTGGCTTTATTTTGACAGCAAGTCCAAGCATGTGGCCACCGTTTTTTGTTTCGACTTGATCCGTATTACACATGAAAAGTATTTATTCTTTAATTAGCCACACATGCACAGCGCTTTACATCACCTCAACATACTAATTATCTGTGAGGCCTATTATTCTAATTCCTGCCTTCTGTTAAAACACTTCAACACATTTTTTTTCTGTAACTGAAATGTGGTTTGTGTTTATGTGAGAATGGCTGCCATCACACTGATAAATCCTTCTTTCATCAGAACACAAGCAGAACCAAATCAAGGGGAGGACTCTATAGCTTCCACCTGTGCTTCCATTCTTTGTTCCAGTCATCTTTAACCATTAATTATTTTCAGGCCTCGGGAGTCCTGTTGTCCAAAATAAAAATCTGTGCTCCTTGAGGAAACTCCTTGAGTCTGGAAAACATTTCATCTTGGCCAATGAGGCTTTTATATTAGCCGTTGGCGAACGTATATGCTATTCAGCCTCTTTTCACATTCTTAAGCCTTCAGGAAATGTCTAAAATAACATCTCCACCCTCTGCTTTATTTGCATTAAGTGTGTTGCATTTAAAGCCTCTTGTGCTGTATCTCAAGCTTCTTGCCTGTTACTTAATACTTCCACTATTTTCTTCAAGGTTTATTTGGGGCAGTTTTACGTTTTGTTCTCTACATGTATATGAAAGAAAGAAACTTTGCTGGATCACATCTGAACTTAATGCTGCACTCAGTCCTGTAATTTGGTTCCACTGGTGATGCTCCGCTTGATGCTGCTCAGACCCTTTCCAAAGCAGAGGGGGCGGGTCCCGGGACAACTTTCCCGACTGGTGATTTGATGAACGGAGGATTTTCCAGTGTCAGTATCTTACAGTCGGTTCAGGTTCAGCGTTCCGGCGTTTGTCCAGCCTCCTGACGGTGCTCAACACTCAGGGAACCGAGTTGCTCTGCGCTTTTTTTTTTTTATGAAAGCCCTTTACCATCAGTCTGAGAGCTGGGCTTAAGGGGGAGCGGATCTGAAGGGCCCGGTCTGGCTGTGAGAGGCATCTTTATTCTGTCACACATGGCGCTGTAAAAATAAGGACGTTGTGTGGATTGTAGAAGGGACTGAATTTTGACACAAGTCGCCCGTTATTTGTTCTGCTGCGGGCGCTAATCATGGAGATGCAAAGGTGGGCCACCAGGTGGAAAACGAAAAGGTGGCTGTGGAATTCATCGCAAACCGCTGTCGTCACGTTAATTTTAATTCTACAAGCTGCCAATGTCAGAGCAGGTAAGACTCTGCATTTTGTTAGACTTGACAATAACTGTGCCAACTCCATCCCGGACAGGTCAAGCTTTTTAAGTGTGGCCGCCAGCCAGTAAGTGTTTGTGGGCTTAGAGGAGAACTAGCCACCGGCTATCACCTTTAATTTTCTACTCCATATACCATACCATACCATGTAAAGCTAAAAAAAGGCACTTTTTAGATCAAATAAAACAGTGATAAAGTCATGAGTTCAGACACTTTGTAATGTCCAGACTCAAATCTTTCTCTGTGGCTCAATAGATCCATTCACCTTACTTAAAGACAGATGTGTAGTTAATAATCAAGGTAATTTTATTTACTTTATCCTTGATTGACAAATTGAAACTATTTTAAATAAGCACACCTGCATCCGAATTCTAAGTATATTTTAAGTCCTGGTCATGAAAGATATGTCATAAGACTTTGTTGTTCCCTTTAAAGTTTTTTTGAAGTGCACCTTGAAGAATGATTAAAAAATCTGGCTGAGGTGTTTAAATGTGGATCATTTCCAGCTGTACTCATGTGATTTACGGTTTATTTTTGGACGAGACTTACGGAGATGCCAATCTCTCAAATTCCTCGAGCGTCAAAGAAGGCTAAGTCTGCCATCCAGGTGTGGTCAGCGAGAAGAGGCTGACTGTGTTGATTGCTTCTGACACAAATACTTGGTGGTGCGTAAAAAGTGTGTGTAATGCCTGTTTTTTTTAATTTTTTTTAATTTTTTTGGGGGGGGGATATATTCCGAAGTTGAATATCTGCTTTATTGTCTTAGAATCTGAAGTCAAAAATATGTATTTATTTGTGTTTATATTCTACCCTACCACTTGGTAGTACGTTGGACTCACTGTAGGCTTTCACATAACTTTTGCGCACGACATCTGGTAGCATAACTAGTTCCTCACACTTAATGCTGTTAAGTTGTTTTCTCCAAAACATCAGTGGAAGTACGACAAAATAAGTCAATAAAATCATAAAAGCATCGAGTTGGCACAAATTCTGTGATTTGAAGCAGCCTACCTTATTACAGTATTATGACTCTTTGACAGCTGTCAACAGAGCTTATTGTGACACAGTGACATTTCAGGCACATAGGCTTTGATGTAAATATTGTGGAAGTTTAAAAAAATACAAGGCACGACTCCATGGAGTATTGGGAGTGAAATTCATACTCTGGCCTGAAGGATCACCATCTTTCCACATTATCTGGGCTCCCACTAAGTCCAAAAAGGGGCGTTGATGGAAAAAGGGGGAAAAAAAATCTGGAGTATTTTCTTTCCTTTAAAAGACAGATGTGGGTCACATTAACGTATTCTTTTATTTTTCCACAGAGACGCCCATACTGCGCTGTGGATTTAGCCAGGTTAAAACTTTACATCTCAAAAGTTGAAGCTCTTTTTGAATGTGTGTTGCTTTTTAATATTTGTGCTTTTGATGTCAGAGCAGCAACCTTTGAAATAGTTCTTGCCTTCCTGAGTCGGGAGCAAAAAGGAAACAATAATAAAGCTATTTAAAAAGTAGAAAATGTCATATGGCTCTGTGAAAATGTAGATCTAAAGTTGATATTGTATAATTAGTATAATGTATTGAATCCTTTCCAGACATTTCATGTCTTAGGTCCCACCCCTTTTGGATTTATGACCATCCTTTGTTTATACTGTACAAATCCTCTGATGCATAAAGACAATCATTCACAGTAGAGGGCAAATTTCAGAAAACTCCCCCAGAAATGAAGAGCCCATGAAAGCAAATACCACAGTGGCATGTCTTCCCCGTTCCCCATCTTTCCTCACTCTGACTGATACTTAAGCTAACCATAATTGCATGATGTGCTAGCAAACATTTACAGGCTTTCCAATGTATTATAATTGCTGCCTGTGCTGCCAGCTCTCAGTAGATGGCAGTGACACAGAAAAGATGCTGCTTGCTGCACGAGCGCTTGGCCACAGAGACATGAAGTCAGAATGTCACGGACTTAAACCTAAATCCCAGAGTCTAAACTTTGACATCAAAACATATGTCTGTGTTGAGTTACGAGATGAGAAGAGGTGGAAATGTGCGCCTGTTCCAGCTGAAAATGGTATATAAATGAATGAAGGTCTGCTGGTGAAAGTGCCTTAATGATTTTAACAGAGCTTTCTCCTGTCACTGCATGCTCCAACCGCCTGGGGGGAAATCTCACTCCTCTTGTCATGTGAGGAGCTTGTTCATATGGCATATAGTAGATCACAAGTCGTCGACAGGAGTCTGGAAGATGTGTCATTAAAAATCAGAGACTCTGACAAAATACCCCTCAGACAAGACAGACTAGACTGAAGCTGCGCCTCTCTCTTGTGGTTTTTCATCCTTATCATTAAGAATAAGGTTTATTTCTTTAACGGTAGAAGGATAGGAGCCTTTTTTCTTTTCAGGCATGCTGGCTCAAACTCCTGCGAGGCTGCAAAGCTTTTAAAAAGCCATGTCTATTCATTTGGGGGCTTTAATGGGTTTGGGATATTGCCTGTTTTTCAGGACTTCTGTGAAACCATGGCTGAGGAAGGAGAGAGGGGCTTAGGAGTCGGGGTGTGGGTTGGGAGTAGGTGGGGAAGGAGGTGGGGGTTCCTGGCCAATTCAGCACATCTGGAATATATGAGGCCTTGAGGTATGCAGTAATGCAGAAAGGCATTCTGAAACTCACAAAGAGACCTTTAGTCCAAGCTTTCTTTCTTTTTTTCTCTTTTTTAAGAACCAGTAGCTCTGTACTTTGGGACAATATTCAGAAGAGCCACAGACTATTTTCTTTTTTATGAGGCATTTGGTGAGAAGTTGAAACTTGGCGTTGGGTGCCTCGCATTCAAGTCTGAAGTCAGTCTGGTAAATTTGAGGAAAAACTAATCTTGAGTCTGTTAAATTGTGTCTAATTTCTCCCTATTTTTTGATAACGTTGGGCTGAATTTCTTGATTTTTGAGGAGGGCAGCCCGATGTTTATCTTGTAAAATTCAAACTCATGTGACATCTGATGATCTGCAGCCCATATCAGCATTGAGATGAGTCCATCCAGTTCTTTCCACCACTTAAAAATCAGATCTGCAGAACTTCAAATGAGCCAAAAGAAACCTTGATCCTTGAGCATTTGCCCGAATCAAGCTGGTTTGATTCACCGCTCAGGCTGTTATTTTTCTGGTCACAGGAGAAGCAGCTACAGGGATGGGGCCTTCTCAGTTTGGTCTCGTGTATGTTTTAGTTGTGGGGGGGGGGGGGGGGGGGTTAAAGGGAGTGGTGCCAGGACTATAATGGGTTCAGCATGTGGACTTGTAGCTCCACCCATCGGACCCCCTCCTGGTCACAGAAAGTGAACCGGAAGTGCACAATCAGCACTTCTTGGCTTCACATGCCACATGACTTAAAAAACAGTAAATATTAAGAGAAAATTAGAAAATAGAATTTCAGTCGCATCTTTCAGAGTGGTTTTCAAATTTTTAGTAATTAGTGACGACAGAGAAAATTTGAAAAGCTAAAGTTCAGGGACTACATTTTGCATGAAAAGAACAAACATATGGTTCCTCCATTAACGGGAAAGAACGTTTATAAAACTAGATTCCTTTTTATTATACTCCCTCACATAACAGTGTGTGTTGATTTAGTCAGTCTATTGTTTCTTTACCAAACTTTCTTCTCAGTTCACACAATTTTACGGAGTTTTATACGGCAGCAGAGGATTTCCTGCGGCGTGAACTTTAAAGGCGGCCGTCTGTCTGATTCCTTTCACATCTTTTTCCCACAACGTTTTCTAGTCGCTATCAAACATATGGATCAAGGACGGGAGATTTTAAATTAAGCCTGTTATCTTCCATTCCATAAAGACCGTATCTTCACAGCTGACCATTCAGACTGTGTTTATCATAGCTGGCTCTTTGAAGAGGACACATCCTGCCTCACTGAAAAGACAAATGAGCAGTGTGATGTCTGGAGACGCTGGTGCTGGTTTTTTTTTCCCCCTGCTGTGGTTTTTGTAACAGTAGCATTTAATATAAGGTTACATTGAGTTTGCTTTGGAGTGGAAACTTAACAGCTAAAACTTCTACTTTCTGTGTAGGACTTCTGTTAGCTTTCAATTCTCCATTCTCCTGTCTACTATTTAGATCTGATTTGTCATCAGGCCAACACATACTGTAGTGTTGATGTGGGGTCCTAACTTCTTTGTTTGTACTTCAGTGCAACAGTACAGAGATGTTATTGCATGTGGTTAATAGCGTTCAATTACAAGGCTGTTTGATCTTTATTTTTTCGAGGGAATGCCAGCAATTAAAACACAGACTTTAATTAAAGCACCCCTCACCCACATGGATGAGAAGATTTTTATCATAGCTATATTAATGACTGCTTATTTAAAGTGGGACAAACTTTGGATGAAGAAATATTTTTTGTCCCTATAACAAATACAAAGTCATTTTTCATAAGAAAGAAAAAACCTTTTGTAAATTCATCAAGTCAGTTTTTCAAACTAATATTTAATGGTGACTTATATTAGCTAGTGTTAGCATTTTAGTAGCTACTGCTGTGTTACATATTTTGGGGCTTTTTATGCCTTTATTTAGAGAAAGGAAAGTTAATAGGGACAGAGAGAGTGGGGAATGACATGCGGGAAAGGAGATACAAGGCAGATTTGCCCGCTTAGAGGACTATAGACTCTGTACATGGGGTGCTTGAACTAACCACAACTAACTATACTACTGGCATCACTATTACTGATATTTCTGATTCATTTGTCTTCATTTATCTCCAATGAGTAACCGTGTTAAAGCCATTTACAGATATTCAGATATATAGAAATAAGTCATGTAATATTTCTGCGCCACAATATCAACAAAATAATGTCAGCTAATTGAAGGATATCAGGTATCGTATCTGGTTAAAGTAAAAAGTTCACCTGAAATGTTTCAGCAAGTTTTCAGCTTTTAAGATTGCCAACTGGTCATATCACAGGCAAAAAAAAAACAATCATGCATACTGTATGAAGATTGTTATTGGGTTTTTTTGTCCAAAAACTGACACTTTTTCAGTTTTTTGTTGTAATTGCAACACAGCACTGTTTTTTCATTGAGATTGAGCAATGAAGCAGTACTGTACATGTATTTTATAATGAATGGATTGGAATACATCTTAAGAGCTACACAGTCACAGATTGTAAGTAATAATGATAATCACTTCTTCATGACCATTTCTGAGTCTACAATCTGCCTTTTTGTCTTTCACAACCCTCGTTATGACCATGCATTTGCAGCCTCCTCGTACTGTATATTGTTAAGAAAATTCAGCCTTAAGCAAACAGCACCCTGTGCTGTACATCAACACTCCTGTTTATCGCTAGCATTAAACAGACTCTTATTAGGCTTCTTAAATCCCCCATAATCACACTGTAACTGATGGTGTGCCCCAGGGAATGAGACAGGAAGTGGGTTATATAGAAAAGTAGTTACAGAACTGGAACAGAGACAGCTAAGGAGAGTGAAGAGTAAAAGTCTCAGAAATGAAGTTAAAGTTGGACAATTGCAGAAGGGAAAAGAAATAAGAAACATTGTTTATGACTGCACAACTTTGAGTTCCAGGTTCATTGATAGAAAAAAGTCTGACGGTGTTAAGAGTCTAGTAAAGCTGCCCCCCTCTGCGCTCTCCTTATTCAACAGAGCCAGTGATCAGCAGCAATGAGTTTTATCAGCCCATACATGCTGTGGCTTTTGGCTGTGGGGGTAACAGTGGAGGAGGGGAGGGGGACAATTATGTCTTCTGAATGGTTGCTAACATTTTTACTGCTCCTTTGCCAAGCTAGCTCATAAACGAACAACTGCTCCAACTGACAGATTTGGCCAACAGTCCCTGCACAGGCGAGGGGGGTAATGGGTGTAAATGTTGACTTATCATCAAAATGCCAGATCCTATTACATTTTCTGTTAGCTTCTGAAATATGCTCCCATTATACTGACAAATAACATGGTGCTTTTATAGAAAGTATAATAACATACAATAATAAATCATTGTGAGAGGCATTTCTATCTTCTGTCTTAATCATTATTGAAATGGTTACATTGTATTCATTATTTTTAGTTTCTAATAAAATAATGAATATTGCAATTTGTATGGCTTTTTTTAACTAACTGATGCAGTCAGGTTGCGTTTTAAGCTAAATGAAAAATTGGTTTTATATTTACGCATTGACTGTGTAATCACATTAAGTTTAATCAATGATAATTCATGTTTTCCCATTTATACAACTGAACGTAAATTCAGCTTCATAGAAAACTTATCAACAACCTACACATTGAGTTACATTTTCACAGATAATTGAAGTAATACTTTATTTAATACTTTTTTTTATCGAACAATTGAAAGAATTGGTCACTTTGATCACACAAGTGTCAAATATGTCTGTTTGTGTCCAGTTTCATTCATGGGAAACACCCAAATACACACTAAGTTATCCATACCTGGAGTGGGGTTTGAACCCATGTGGACACTGACCCATTGGATCTTAAGTCCAATGCCTTAACCTCGGCCATCCTGGTGTCAAATCATTGAAAACATCACCACCACAAGAAACATATGGGGAAGACTGACTCACCACTGAGTCAAAACTATAACAAAAAAAAAAGCTTGTTGCTCTGCAGATGTTATGACATTGTGATGCAAAATATCGTTGGGTAATCTAATTCATTCTTTGTTCTGCCTCCTCAGCTGAACCAGTGGATGTACTTAAGGTGCTAGACTTCAAGAGCTCCCCTGAAGGAGTAAGAAAAACACCAGGCTTCTGCACAGTCCGGAGAGGATCCAAACCCGACATCGCTTACCGAGTGGGAAAACAGGCTCAGATCAGCGCTCCAACCAAACAGCTCTTCCCAGGTAATCTCACTCCTTCACCCTCTTTCCGGTATAAATACTGAAACGTTCGGTAATGACCATCTGTTTACCTGGGCAATTGAAGAACTCAATGACTACTTGAGATGTTAGTACTCTGTACAAAGAATATGCCTTCTTCTCCTGGTTTGTTTTGCACTGTAAAAAAGCAAAACAAAGGTTTTAAGCTAAAGCTAAATCTGTAAAGCTAGTAGGTTTGAAATTTTAATCTGGATAAGAGACACAGAGATATAGGTCAACGGAAAAATCCACATTGATATTTTCTGGGCAATACATGTATGTGATAACTAAGCCAGATATACGTCTGATATGTCTTGTCAAAAAGACAGTACTTCTATCTCGTATTTTTCCAGTAGACACATGTTGTCTTGAAGAACATTCATCAATGTTTTTGTGAGTATTTGCAATCAACTTTTTCTTTGGTTTACGATGGTGTAGTCTGAAAACTCATACAACTCTAATCCCAGTGTACTTGTTTATCAAACATTGAAAGGACATGGCTTTCATTCAACATTATGAGGAACAGTCCATGTATGGTTGACAACTAAGTTTAAGCACTAAAATCAGTGTTGGGTTCAACACTAAATGCAAATTCTATACATTGTGTGCTTTATACTTATCTCTACAGTTCTTCTAAAAATTGTCACCCCTATTTAAACAAGTTATTGTTTAGATCAAATTGAAAGCTTCAGTTTAATGTCTTGAACCACTTAAAGGCATCACAAAAACATCTTCAAGATATTTCAATTGCTCAAGACTAAAGCTTAAAACATTATGAAACAATTTACTGCAAACACCTGTCTTCTTAAATTCAGTGCAGACTTTTCAGAAATTGTTTTTCAAAAGATGAACATGAATGCAGGGATGTTTGAGAAGGCCCAAAAAGCCTGTAGGGGATTGGAGTCACTAAGCACATGGTGTATGAAATATAACATAAACATGCAACTCAAGTTAAAAGGGCAACACCAGATATTTATTTGACTATTTTGGAAAACTCCAATATCAATGCTGACAGCTAATGAGAGGAATACTTCTTTTGTTGTTTTCTAAACTGATTTGAAAGTATCTGTTCAAAAGTTTGATTGCTGGCAGACTGGAGTTTCCTGTATTTGGCTGATATATTGAAATCTATCACGGTTTTCAGACTAAAGGTGCATTCACTGACTCATAGTCTGCTGCTCAGCTGTTTGTGAGTAATACAGACACATTGGTTTTATTAGGAAGTAGACACAAACGTTTTTTTATTGGGAAACCATTTGGTTTGCTTCTTTCTTACACTTAATGCTACCAGTGAATTTAAAGTTAAATAATAATTATAGAGGACAAGATCTTTGATGAATTCCATAAATCAACATCCCAACAGGTGTAAATTGCCTTTTTGTTTCCAATGTTTCCAATCTTGCCAACTGCATTTTTTTTTCACCTTATAAATAAAATTGTATTTCAGCACAAATGTGACGCGTTTCAGAACATAACAATAAAGTTTCCATCCACTTGATAACTTGACATTCTCTACATATGGGTAAAAATGTTCACAAAGCCACCAGTTTCTGTATTACTCCAAACACAATTGCCTACAAATTGACTGTCCCAGTCTGTGCAGCAGTAGATGTTCAGTTTGGCAGGATTTCAACATAAAAAAAATTCAATATACAGTGAAAATACCAGACCAATAGTTATGGGATTTTTGACGTAAACTGCCAGTCCACCTTACCGTTTCAGTGTTGGAAACTTAAGGAGTGTAATTAAACTTGAGAGGTGAGACGTTGGAGGTGTCAAAATGTCCTCAGTCGGAATAATTGGACTTTTATTTCATTAGGATTAGTTATTTTGCCATTGAACCAAACTATTAAGGTTCTAAAAATATGACATTTGTTTGAGTATTTACAGCCTTGTTAAATTAAAGTGTCAAGATCAACAACATTGAGTCCTTTCACAGGATGCCAAGGTCTCCTTCAGCTTCCTTCATAAAAAAGGCTACAGGTCCCGTTGTCTAGACACTGAGCTTTAATGTGAGGTGCAGAAACTTAAAGAGCTTATAAAATAGTCAGTATTCAGGTTAGTCTTTACAATGGGATTGCCCTTTAACGGCATCAGTAGAAGATGGATGTTAAAAATTGGGTATGAGGTGAGTGACTGCATTTAATTTCTGCTTTAGATATGATGCAGATTATTATATAAATAAACTTTTCAAAACCGGATTGCTTCATATTTTTTGTGAGTTATATAAAGAAAGTCACGGCAATGTTATAGGAATATTTATGGAATGTGGGAGGTTTAGATAAAAAGATGGACCAGTCTCATCTCAATACTAAATATTTAGCTAGCTAGTTAGCTTGGTGGGCTTTAGCTAAAAAACTGATGAAGGGGCAAGGGGAAGACAAATAGCCTGGTTCTGTCCAAAAGTGATAAAATGTGTTTACCAATACATCAAAAGCTCACAAATAAACATGTAAAATCACATTTTTAGCAGTATAAAAAGGGGCATATTGCGGTTTTACTCGTGGCTTTGTGCTCAACTAAGCGAATTCCTAGCAAGTAGTTACTTCTTATTTACTGGAATCTGATCTTTACGTCCAGATGGCAACAATAATGACTGGGTTTTCTCAAAATGTCAAATATTTCCTTTGACTTAGAAAAAGGAATCAAGGTGATAAACATTGCTTGCAACATGAGAAATGTAGAAAACAATCGACGAGTATTTTAATTATCATTACTGTGGTTAAACTGAGCCAACCCCATGCGTCTAACTGTGTGAATCAGAAGCTGAGCTCTGACAAAAAATGTGCATTTACCCACATTTTGTTATCCTTTGGTCCCTGCTAACGTGCCTGCTGCTTGTTCCACCTTCAGGGGGAGTTTTCCCAGAAGATTTCTCCATCCTGTTTACCATCAAGCCCAAGGCTGGCCTCCAGTCCTTCCTGCTGTCTGTGTACAACCAGCAAGGCATCCAGCAGCTCGGTGTGGAGGTGGGTCGTGCTCCCGTCTTCCTGTATGAGGACCAGCATGGCAAACCTGCCCCCGAGGAGTACCCCCTGTTCCGCTCCATCAACCTTGCTGACGGCAAGTAAGTGACTGACTGCTTCTCGGGAGGGCTACAACATGGTGGAGGTCTTATGAGGGTGGTAGATTTTTAGATCCCCTGGAAAACTTCTTTACTGTGTTTCATTTTCAGGTCAGAAATTTCATACCTCAGTTTTGTTGTGAGGTTTGTGTGATTGGCACAAAAACCAAAGCGGCACAGCTAATCTCGAACACTTTTTTCAGATTTATAGGTTATCTTTTATTCCAAACAAAAACAATGTGCCGAACAGATTTTCTCAAGTATTTAGAACATACTTAACTCTTCTTGCATGGTAAACTGACACACAGCTCTGGGGATTTATTATAATCTTGTGTTTTCTCAGTCATAAAAACCATATGGAACGAGGCAGACAGTAATGGGAAATAAATTGCAGGCAGATTTGATGACAGCCTTTGTTTTCCTGATTATTTACAGCAGTTGTTTACTGATATGCAGTAATGGACATGATCTACATGAATAGCATAGCTGTCCAGTGATGCTGACACAAATCAATGTTGTATGTTGTCATCTATCATGAAAACAAATGCTAACAGAAATGCCTTGAAATTATTCCAAATGTCTGTTGTTAATTTGGGATTTTTTTTTTACAGTGTTGATATACAGTACTTTACTTTAATTTACTTAAAAAACATGCTGCATACTGTAGCTAATGTCGCTTTCCTTAGTGAAAGTGCAGTATTTACACTTTTAGAAGTTAAAATATACGATTTTGTAATCAATCAATTTGTAATAATTCTGTTGCATCTGTTAACCCAACCATTATTGATCAATTCTTTATTCGAAAATCAACTAGGATTGCTTAGGCTGTATTTAGACTTTTATATCAAAAGCACTCTATCAGTTAATGTAATATATTTTCCCGTAATCCAACAAAAGCCTATATGTTACCTGTAGATGTAAATAGGAAATGTTAACGCATAGGGAAAGCTGGCCAGGCAAAACAAAGAAAGATCATTCCAGCTTCCAGCAGCCTTGAGTTTTATTTGTTTAGTCAAAAAAAAATATGTGATGTTACACAAAGTCTTTGTTTTCAGATAAATTACATTCTATAAATCATTTCATCACAAATAAAAATTCATTTTGTGTTGATTCAATCTATCAAAAGAAGTGAGCATTAAAAACTAGCCGCAAATTTGGTTACTTTCAAGCAGAGACAGGCTAAATAGGTCCCCTGTGCTTCATGTCTCTATATGCTAAGCTAGGCTAATCAACTGCCAGAAGCAGCTTAATATTTATTTTTTAAAATAATTATATCTTTACTTACTGTCAGCAACATTTCCCAAATGTCTACTTATTCTTTTAGACAAATAACCTTACTTTCTTTCAAGAATGGTATTTCTGACCTCCTGCTGTGCTTCCTGTTTTGCAAAGATGGCATCGTGTAGCTATCAGCGTGGAGAAGAAGAGTGTGACCATCATTGTGGACTGTAAGAAAAAGCTGACTCGGCCGCTCGGCAGAAGTGACCAGGCCGTCATCAACACAGAGGGCATAACCGTCTTTGGAACTAGAATCCTGGATGATGAAGTCTTTGAGGTAAGGCAGCCATATTGAACCCCTCTTCACTTTAAGCTAGCTGGGTTGTGATGATTGCTGTATATAGTGGATTAAAGGAATCGCTCGCCATTTCTGGGAAAATCATTTATTTGCTTTTTTATTTTATTTTTTTATACAAGAAGATTGATCATAAGTATTAAGTAAGAGCTGATGAGCGATTAGCCGTGATTAGCATAAAGACCAGAAGCAGGCCTCACTGCTTATAGCCATAGCTGTGACTTTTTATTTTCATTTTACTTTCCTGTTTGTGTACAGTTTAAACTTATGACATGCAGCCAGAAAGTAAATGAGCTTGGGGAAATTGTTCTAAAACTTTAAGAGTCTTCGGGCTGAGCTAGACTGAGTCCTACTTGCTATAGCAACATACCTGATGTAAAGATCTAAGAGAGTAACTATCTTCCAATTTAAATAACTTCAAATAAGAAAACAAGTGTGTTTTCCAAAACACGATATATGTAATAGTTCCCTTAATGTTTCCTTAAGTAACATTAGTGCAGAGAACATTGTTACAATAATGACAGTGAAAATAAAATCCTGGTAAGCATTGACCACAAGATGTATCCATCATCCACGCAGGAGTATCTAACAAATACAGCACATAGCACATAGCGCTGTATATATATATTTATTTCTTGTTTACAGCACATAGTTCTGTTTACATCTGTTTACATCTGTTAGTCTGATCACTGTCCACTTATATCTACTCTTATATTTTGTATTTTTAAGTTAAGTCTAAGCTTTAAGTTGTATTTAAATTGACACTTTCTATTTAGGTTAAATGTTTCGTACTTGCACTGTTGTTAATTTACTGCTCTGTGTGCCTTTGAATTACCCCCCGGGGACAAATAAAGCTTTTTGAATTGAATTGAATTGAATTGAATTGAATTGAATTGAAATACAGAGCAGAGATTCACCACTACTTTGAGGTAATTGAGGGGGTTTTGGAAAGCTTACCTTGATGCCAGCAATTTCTCCCCACTGACTTAGAAAGGTTATAATCGAAAACACATTGTGAATCTTACCCTCAATGAATCTCATTTACCATTGTGAAAAGGGACAATTTTAGTGTCTAATACTTTAAGTCCAGATGCTTTAAGGCCAGACTTTTTATTTGTATTTCATTAACTTGCTCATACGGTGAAATTTATTGGCCAGAACAACAATATTGGCTTTGTATACTTGGCAAGAGCCAGGAGCAATGTCTGTGGAAAGACTACTTGCACAGTGAGTTGTTCAAAATGTGTTCTCCCTCCACACTGGTTAGATTTGTTTAAATAGTTGACTTACTTAATAAAAGAAAGACTGAGATCTAATAGGCTGCAGTTGGTAATTTTGGACAGCCTGTGGTTTGAAGTGCATGAATTCTGCCACAATGTGCAGATAATAATATATGATTCTCTTAAAAACTATGACTTTAAGAGCTTTGAATCAGAATTTACAGCTGGCTTTGGTTACTGGGGTGGCAATTTAAGAGTGGAAGTCCATGCTAACAGGTTTAGCACAGGTATAATGTGAGCTGAATGCTAGCTCTGAAGACAATAGGCTCTCTTTGATGTGTGCATGTGGAATGCTTGCTAAGTAGAACAGCCTGCAAAATCTTTGCCTTCAGGTCAGAGATGACTTTCCACAGAGGAGACACTTGAAGTTAGGTCTCTTATCTTCCATAATGATTCTTTTTTTGGCAAGAAGAACCCATTGTTGGATTTAGTGGTTAAGTGATCAGCAAGTTTAGAACATAAGCAGACTCAATCAACTTTACTGGAACCTTTTGGTTCATTTGTCATTTACTTTTACCTCAACTAGCAGAGCCGTAATAAAATAGCTCTGTAACACTTCTAACAGTAAAACACAAGAGTGACAGCAGGAGTGATTTGAGTCAGGATTTTAATCAAGGTAATGAGGTGTTGATTGGGGATAAAAGTACCATTGCACTTTCACCAAGCCTACTCTGTTTTTAAAACCAGCCATTTGGCTCTTGCGAGTGCTCTTTGTTTGAGCCTATTTTACACTAAATGGTGTTGAATTGCAGCGTAATTTGTTTTGTTCTCTTCCCTAAAAACCTGGAGAGGAAAAAAAAGGATTGCTTTTGTTCCAATGGTTGGATCCTTGTGCATGTTGCAAGGTGGTTTTAATCAGGGTATCAAACAATAGCATTTCTGTGGTGGCCTTGCGATAAATGCTGCCATATCTTGAGCTGTAATTATTTCCACTGCGATCTTAATAACCCCAGATTTGATGATTGCAAACTGGCTACCTACAGACACACTGCGCTGCTAATGGCAAAAAGTTCTTACTGGCCCAGGGTGTCTTGGATAATTACTGTATAACCTTTTAGCTGGGAAAAAAAAGGTTTGGATGTAGATGTAAGCCATGTGTTTGGTTTGAATGTGTTGCTTATTGGATTATACTTTGGCAAACGTGATTCTTCAGCTGTTGTAGTTACACTACAATCAGTATACATTGGAGGCTATGGAAACTTTGGGAATACTGTAGGACTGTATTATCTATTGTAGATATAAACAATGTGAAAGTTTGAAGCATTGGTCATTGACACCCGTTAAGGTCTCGTGTATATATATAGACATTTTTTTTATGCTAACATTATAAAAAAGATTCACCTAACTATGGTTTAAATTAAAGTGTAAAATCTTGATTTTTAAGATTCTCGCCCAGCTGTATAGCTTTCCATCAAGTTATTTCTGGTTTTATAGACAAAGACCTAACAGATCATATAAAATACATATCCAATTGAGATATTTCAGCTGTTTAGTGTCCAGAGCCTTAGCTTCACAATTTTGTAGCCAATCTGAAATTCAATAATTGAAGTTGGCTGTGAACTTTCTCTCTAAAAAAAGACTTTGAGCATTGGGCACATGGCTACCTTTCTGCAGAAGATTGCATAAGCAGGTGTCAAAGCTGGAAGCAGAGGGACGACTGAAGGCTCGAGGAAAATATGATCAGTGTGTTCTTAGTTTTGGCTCAGATTGCACAGCTGTTTAAAGGATATGGTCACTGACCGTTCCTCCAAAGGCCTTTTTTTCCCCTTTGTTTTTCGTCTTTTAAATCAAAACTCTCTGAATATTTGAATCATCTCTCTTCTTAAGGCAATTCTTTTTCTTTAGACTTTAAAAGATAGGACGGGATTCTGTGTTTTTGCAGTTATCTGAGGCTGTATTGTCATAAACGAGTGCATACAAAATGTGTGTATGTCTGGTAGGAGGATAGGAGGAGAGACAGGCGAAGATGGTTTGTTTATGTGTCTGTCATTACTGCATAACAGATTGTTCCAAAACGCCGTCCCTCAAGCAGGACAGACTCTGGCAGAGGACTCTAACAAGGCTCTGATGTGCTCTAAGCCTTAAAGTGATTCATTGTTTATGGTTGTGCTGGCTGGAAGAGAAACAGTGGGACTGTTTCTCATCTGCCCCAGTCACTTTTCACTCTCCAGGACTGGTCACAGAAAGTTTTGGTTAGCGATGTGTAATAGGAGTACAGTAATTAACTCACGAGTGTTTAGGGACTGGAACTGAGAAGTGTCAGTCACATTTCATCATGTATTTACACGAACAAACAGATGACTGTTCAGTATCTTTTTTCATAGACCCTTCAATTCCTAGTGCATGATATTGCAATGTACTTGTCATATCATTTGTTTTTGTGACCTCTTTGTCGCTTGTGCTGTGACCGTCTTTAACTTGATCTGAGTACAACCAGGAAGTAATGGACCCACGTTGCTCCTAAGAAACTTTTTAGATGAAAAATAGCAGAGAGAGGAAAGAGATAGTGACATAAAGAAGGGAAAAGAAGTTGAGATTGTGCAGGGTACTGCAAAGCAGATGGTTCAAACGCTTTCAACAGTTTTGTGAGCTACTGGCAGCCAAAATGTTTTTAATATCCGAAAGGATGCAAGACATTTGTATGCCCCCAGTGCATGAAAAGAAACTTTATCCTGCAGGGCTGACCACAGAGGCTGCGTTTGATAAAACGCTGGGAGAAATCTGGAGAGTGTTACACATTTTTCCTCTTCTCTGCGTCTTGGTTAATTGTTGTCCTTGTACAGTTTTGAAATTCCATCTCTCTATTTGTTCATTCAAGATGTGATCCCCTCCCAAAGTTTGAGAAAGCTGACATTTTATAAGATGTCAAGTGTGTCGAGTTTGTGTGGAGTTCGGCGCATGAGATCAAATAATGAAAATACAGAGGTAAGTTATGGCTACAGAAGATTCTGCAGGTTTTGCACAATATGTATTTTTTTTTAAGCAAAAAACATCTGCACGAGACTGTTGGATTTGAGCAGCTGTGGTCTGCATGGCCTTTGAGCTGGTCACATCTGGCTGACAATGCATCTCGAGGTTCAGAAAGACAGGTCACAGTGACAACATGAAATGTTTAATGAAAGTTGTTTTTTTAGAAAGGTCTGTTTATTGTAATTGAGTTGGGCTGTTTTTTTCCCTGGTAAAGCAGAATGTTTATACACATTTATACGCTGTCACCTTTTTAAAAAAAGTAGCAGTAGTAAGGACTGTTTTGTCTTACACCAGGATGATGTCTCTAGCAAGAGTTTAAAGTAAAAATGCATCACTAAATGTGTCTCTCCCACCTCTGCATGTATGCTTTTGGGTTTTACTGGGTCAGACTGCAGATGCTTCTGGCACATTTCCAAATGTGTCTTCCAGGTGCATCTATATCCTGCAGCTGTTTCAGGTGACCTGCTACACCTGGCCACAGACTATTACCTTTGAAACACCTACTTACACACTTAAATGATGTTCTATAGACATGAAAGAAAACTACATGTCTATTGTGTAGTTTTAAAGTATGGCTTTTAAGTGAATTTGTTTCTGTTAACCAATAATCTGACATTTAAATCTATAAAAAAGTCCCCAAATAGTCAGTTAAACCTGATATATTGTCCCAGAACATATGACAGGGAATTCTAATGTCTTTTTAAATCCAATTACATAACAAAAGAAGAAAAG